AGGGGAGGGACTCAGCCATCCTCACAGAATGTTCCAGGCCAGTACCACAGGAGGTGGATTCAGCTGACTCCCAGGTATCCTTTTGGATCCCCAGGGCTGTGAAAATGCCAGCTCAGAAACAGCAGGTCAAATAAACAGCACACACCATTTTACTCTCATGGGTGAGATGGGTCCTCAATGGGGGCTCCGGAGGGCAACAGAGCCATTCCCACAGAGAGACCTGGCTTGACTCAGACTCAGCCAGGTACTTCCAAAAGGTGGGGCCTCTGAGGACACCCCTCAGGCTCACACTTGGCTGCAGAAGCACCTGCACCTCCAGACGCCTGACCTGTCCATACCTTAGGGATGGTGGTCACAACCCAGACTTCTCACCAGTACTAACCACACAGCTCACCACACACATCTCAAAACACCACTGGGGTTGGGGGGGGCGGAACCAGGCTGTGAGGGCAGGCGCCCACCTTTCTACACCTAATGAGAAAGCTGTCCGCACAGGCCATTTGGCCAGCCTGGGCTGGCATAACCTTTCCCACCAACCAAACCAAGACCACAGTAAGTGTGGATGAAGTAAGCAAGCTCGGTGCTGCTATCAGACCAATTGTCAATTACAGCACTTGGAATAAAATAAGGCACTTAGGAGATTAGAGAAGAGAAAAAAAAAGGTCAGGTGATTGCCAGCCAAATCAGGCCAAGCCTTCTCAGGCAGTCTGTCCTCTCCCTGCCCGCACTGGGACAGTGGCTCTTTGCCTCTCATCCCCTCTAGTCCCCACACCACAAGGATGAGAGCCAGGCAGTGCAGGAGGTACAAGGCTATGGCAGTGTAGCCCATGGGCTCTCAAGGTCCCAAAGCCTCTACACCTCACCTAGATCCCAAAAACGCAGAGAGAACCGACCCACACAGAAAAGGCTGAAGGTGCCTGGGCTGTCCTCTGAGGAGTGAGTCCCACAGACGAGTCCCATGGCAACACCCACCCCCATGAATTGGCAGCTGAGCCCAAAGATGAATATCTGGCCAGAGTGTGAATTAGGAATACACAGCATTTCCAACAGACCATTGTTGCCTCATAGTGCAAGGGCAGGACCCACCTAGTGACCAGATGACCCTGGTGACATATCTCCTCTGTCCCTAGCAGGCACGTCTCTCAGGACTAGGACTTGAAGCCCCCATCCTTTCCTCCGTAGGCCTCATACCACTCTGCTAGGGTCCAGCAGGTCTCCAAGCCTGGGGCCAAGGACTAAGAGCCTCCACAAAATGGATGCACCCCATACCTGGCACTGAGTCCCACAATCACCTGGGGGAAAGTTTCCTCCCTTGCAAGAGGAGCCCCAAATGGAACTCCTGCAAGAAACAATGGAGCAGAGGGCCTGGGACCCTGAATCCCCTGAAAGCAGGAAGACAGGAAGAGAACAGGGAGGGTCTAGAGGCATTCTGCTTCCTCCATTGTCACCATAATATGCTCTGGTACCAAGAATAAAAGTGCATTCATAAGATAGATTACAGAGATTAAGTATTTTCAAATGGTCTCCCACCCAGATAAAACAACAGTTCAGTTGCAGCTTTGGACATTTACAGAGTTCAGAAGGTGGGACATCTTGCTGCCCTTGATGTGGAACGAGCACATACTGCTCTCGTTGTCAAGTCTTTTCAACACAAAGTCACTGATGGGAACCCAGTGGCCTCTAAGCCACTCACAAGGCCTGTGACTGGAGAGGTTCTGTCCCTTGGCAGGGAACCCTGGAAAGAGACCTCAAGCAGTGTACTGCCACAGAGAGGCCACATGGGCCCACTGAGGGCAAGAATAAGAGGCAGCCACCCAGCAGGCACCAGGATCAACAGACACAGTTTACTTCTCTGGCTGTCCAGAGAGAGTAATGGGAGCCGAGAGAAATTCTACCAACCTCCCTGAAGAAAGCAACACTCTGCCAGACCCTCTCTTCACTGTGTCCCCCAGAATCCAGGAGCCCTCCCCCTTGGCCAGAAACACCAGGGACTAAAGCAAAAGATGAACCCTGTACACAGTGAACAAAGGTGGCCCTGTAGCCCACCTCCTTCCCCAGACACTACTGCATATGATGGATGGGGATTCCCCGGCCTACCCAGGACGAAAACTCTGGCTTTCCTCTCCTAGCCTGTGCTATGATCTGGATATTGATAAGATTCCCTGGTAGGCCCTCAGTCCAGCATACCACACAGAGGCCCTTTGGTGGGCTCCTCTCAAGGCTCTGCACAGCCAGCCTGTGTCCCACACCCTAGAATGGTACCTTACTCCCAGATCCAGAGACATCCACCTATCTCCTGGATAGTGTCCAGTAGTCACTTCATGTCCCCACTATCCATAAGTGTTATCAAAGCTCTCAGTCAGGGGGCTATAAGCTGGTCCAGACCCCTGTCATGTGAACCTTCCCAGAGTAGCTCAGAGGCCTGAGGCAAACAGGAATGTAGATCTCATTACAGGAGGTGTGAAAACAGTTTCCCCATCTGCTGGGGGCCCCCAGTCTTTGCTTTCTCCCAAGCAAAGAGCAGCACCAAAATCCAAAAGTGACCCCACTTCTACCTAGAGCCAAGGATCAAAAGACCCCTGGCCACAGACCAGGCCCCACCCCCTATTGCCCAGCCCACATGGAGTACAGACTGGCTTGCCTAGCCTTAAAGGGAAAGGAAATGAAGAAATGAACAGGAGTTCCATGCGCCTGCAATGCCTCAGCCAGATAGGCAGGCTTAGACTGCTGAGGTCTATCTCACATCTAGCCTGCTGTAGCACCCCTGCTCTGTCCTCCACTCTCAGTGACATGCCATAGTAGCAACACCAGGGGGTACTCAGGGAGCCACACTAGTCATCTGACAAAAAAGTGGGAGCCAAGAATCATGCCATTCTCCAAAATCGAGAATGGTCTCCCTCTTCCTGGACTCCCTTCTCTCTCTGCCTTCTCAGGCAGCACGCACACTGGGCACAGTCTAGGATCCTGGACAACAGACCTTGCCCCACCCCCCCGACTCCCATACAGTCTGTACCATCAAGGCCACTTCTCACCAAGGCCTAGGATATGCCTGGCAGGAGGGAGGGGAGTGCCTCACAGGAGCCATGAGGGAGAGCGAACGTTTCAGCTCCTGCTGAAGGTCCCTAAGGAACACCACTGACCCTCCACAGAAAGCCACATTACAATTGCAGAGCCAAGGAGCAGCGCAAGACCTCTAGCACTCTTTGTCTCAGGATTGATGACAGGTCAACGCCCACCAAATAAACCCAGCTTGTACACACAGGCAGGATACCCTGCAAGTGCTGAGGACACAGCACCTAAATCCTATTTCTGGCCCAAAAATGCAGGCATGCTGCAGTGTGGAGAGCAGTCCTGGCCCCCAGTTCATCCAGGCTTGCACAGGATACTCAGGCCTGGAAGGGGAGCTAACTTTACAGGCCAGTGGGGTAGGCTTACACCTCCAGCCAGCACTCTCCCAGCTGGCCCGTGCCTGACAGCTGCCCTCCCTCCCAGCAAGGGAGGGCCTGTAAACACCCCCTGTGACAGGAGCTGCCTCCTCTTCCAAGGCTGGCCCCAGGACGGCTAGGGTTGCAGTTTATATAATCTTCAGGGCCAGGGCTGACACAGCTAACGTGAGGGCAAGGTTATGAGAAATGCATGCAGAGCCTCTGCTTCCAAAAATAAAGAAAAAAGAGACAGACAGAGACAGAAGAAGGAAATAAGGGAGGGAGAGAGGGGGGGGGGAGAAAGGGAGAGGGGGAGGGGGGGGAGAGAGAGAGAGAGAGAGGCATTGTGCATGGTTTTCACTCATACATCTAATCTGTGAACAAGGTGGGCTCTTGGAGGACCAGGAGATTGCTGACTTCGCTCCTTGGCCTAAGGGCCCGCCAAGCACCACCCTTAAGTCAGAGGAAGCCCCTGCAGGTTTCTGCAGCTATCACACCTACATCTTGCAGGACATAGGCAGATGCTAATTTAAGGGCAGGTGGGAGCTTCCAAGCCACCCAGAAGGGCCTAAATACTGGCTTCTCTCTCACTGCCTCCAGCTCTTCTGGGTCAGTAAAGAGGGTTCTGAGGCCCTACAAGGAGCAAGGGCTGACAGAGCCTACACTGTCAGCTCTCCAAAACCTCCCGTACCGTGAGCACACTCAGGCACGGCAGACACCCAGGCTTGACTTCCAGGCTGACAAGTCTCAACCTGCCCACAGGCCCAGAAACGACCACAGCAGGTTGTCCATGCACCGAGCATGCGTTCTGCTGAACGCGGACACACACACACACACACACACACACACACACGAGAGAGAGAGAGAGAGAGAGAGAGAGAGAGAGAGAGAATATGAATCTGTCACCACCATCCCAGGGCTGCCTAAAGCCCTGCGCAGGAGCAAGGACGTACCCAAGGACGCCTTCCCTGCCAGCCCACCCACGGGCTGCAGCCCTTACCTGCAGTTCGCACCAGGCCACCTCCACCCAGGTCTCCGTGTCCAGCCCTTTGTAGACAGTTTTGAAGGAGCCCCGGCCCAACTCGATGTCGAACTTGAGGAAGCGGCCGTCCAAGGAGGTGGCCACAGCCTTGAGGTCGTCCTCGTCGTCCTCCTCCTCCTCGGGCTCATCCTTGCGTGCGCGCCCGGGCTCTGGCTTCGCCTCGGTGATTCCAGCGTCCTCCTGGGTCGCGGCCGCCGCCTCCTCCTGCTGCGGGCCGCCGTCGGAGACCCGCGCGGCTGCGGTTGCGGTGGCAGAGGCGGTGGCGAGATCCGGGCTGGGCTCCTGAGCGCCCGCGGGCTCCGGACCAGGGTCCGAGGGTGCACTCGGGGCACCGAGCGGCGCTGCAGGCGCGGAAGGCGCGGGCGCGGCGGGGCGGCCCCGGGCGCGCTCCGCGATGAGGCGGCGCGTCTTGCAGAGCAGAAGCACCCGACGCTGCAGAGGCTGCGGGGGCTGTGCGCTCGGCGTCTCCGCAGCCTCCAGGCCCGGCGGCTCCTCCTGGTCCGACTCCACCACGCTGCGCCGCAGGAAGCGCTGGTGCCCGAGCCGCGCCGCCCTCGCCCGCGGCTCCGCCATGCCGGCGGATCCCGCGCCGCGCCCGGCCTCCATCAGTGCGCCGGGGGCGTCTCGGCGACCGCCATCGCCTTCCATCTCTGCGGGCCAAGGACAGACGGGCCAGCGTGAGCACGGCCCCGCTGCACCTGCCCCTGAGACAGCGCCTCCCCTGGGCCCGCGCCCTTCCCAAGCCCGGCAGCAGAGGTGGCCTGGCCCAAACGTCCCCGCGGGCTGCGGGGCGAGAGGCTGCAGACCCGACCCCAAGGCGCGGATCGCAAAGGGACGCCCAGCCCTGGGCTGCGGATTCAACCCGTCTCGGGCTGTCCGTGGACCTCGGGAGGGACGACCTGGTAGGTGTCCCTGAGAGCTACAGAAGGGCCCGGGAGCCCGGAGACAGGGGCCGAAGCCGGCCTGGGAACGGACCCACTGGGCTGTCCCTCCGGAGGCTGAGGACAGGGAGGCCCGGGGCTGGGGGAAGCACCAGCCAGGCTCCGGCTCCACAAAGGACTCGGGCCGGGCCGCGCGGGGAGGGGGCTGCGGCGGCGCGACGCGCACACAAAGGCGGCGGGCGGAAGGGTTCGGCACTCACAGGGCAAGCGGGCGCCGTCCATGCCCGCAGCCCGGGGGCCGGGGCGGGGGCCGGGGCGACCTAGGCGGGCGAGGCCCTGCTCCGGGGCGGGATTCCGCGCTCGGGGCCGCGTCTGCGCTGGGGTGGGGGTCTGCGCTGGGGCGGGGGTCGCCTTTCAGCTCCTGTGTGCTGTTCCCTCGGCCCCGCCGCTGCGGGGCCAGGCTCCCGCGTGCTCCTGCCGGCTCCGCGCGCCTCCGCTCCCGCACTGGCTTCTGCCAGGCGCTCGGGGGGAGGGAGGGGGCGGGGCCTCCGCTCGTTCCTCCCCCCTCGTTTGGCGCACGGGGCGGGGCCTGGCACTCCCACCTGGCTGTGGCCGAGTGCCACCACCTGCGGGACGCTCCCTGGTCTCCTCCACCTGCCGCTGCTGCTGCAGGCAGGCGCCTTGTTCTGAAGCTTTTTAGAAGGGCTCCTTGGATTTCTGGGCCTTGAAGGTCTTCTTTTTCCCAAGAGGTGGCAGATCACAGGCACCGTGCTTAGCCAGAGCGTCAGACCCTGGAACCTATGCCAGAACTGGACAGGCCCAAGGTACCCTATTCTCAAGAGCCCAAGCCTGTGCTAAGCACTGTCGGAATCTGCCCTTTCTGTGCACATGGGATATGTGAGGACCTCACCATCACCCAGGGAGGTGGATGCCTGTGAGCACTGTGTCAGTTTTTCAATTAAGCAAGCCCAGATCCCAAAAGCAGAGGTTCTCTCTCGTGCCCAACCTGATGGCCCAAGCCTGTAATCCTAACATTGAGGAAGAGAAAGCAGAATATTTGTACCCAGGATTGGAGACCACCCTGAGCAACAAAGGGTCACCATGTCTAAAAATAAAAACAAAAGATTAAAAAGACTTCTCTGCCCTAAATCTCAACGGTCTGGAGACACAGTCTGATCTGAGATGCCTCAGATAGGGGCATGAAGAGGTTTTCAGAAACCCCTTAACTCACCTCACTGATCACCACCTCTCCTGAGATGTCTGTGGAGATCTACTTAACTCCCAAGGACAGGCCTCTTTCCTGAGCACTTCTAAGCCTGACTGCATGGGGCATATGACTGTCCTGATTTCTGAGCCCACACTAGACACCATCTTGAGTCCCCATCTCACCAGCACCCACTGTCTGTGATGCACAGGCATTGGACCCACCTCCAGCCTCAGAAACCAGTGTAGAAGATACCAGAATGTTCTCATCTCATCCTCCAACCCCTGTCAAAGATGAAGGGATAGCCAGTAGCTCCTGGTCGTGGAGCCTTGGGCATGAGCAACTCATGAGATATAAAAGCCACCAGAGGAGACACCGGCCTATACAATCAGAGGGAACAAGTGCTAATGAAACTGTTACCCATCCTGGGCCCTGCTGGGGCCGACGGTGGATGCTGGTGTCAGCTGAAAGCAACTTCGGAAGGCTGATGTTCAAATCTCTTCCCAGCTGAGTTGGGTGGTGGTACACTGTCCTCTGAAGTGAGGAATGCTGGGATTACTTACACTATGGAAATTGACAGCCATCTCATCAGGAATCCCCACCCCACCCCGAGAAAGCTGCTGCTTAAATTATGTGCTTGGCACTGGACTAGGCATTCGGCAGATGCCTGTTAATTTATACGGCCTAATGCCATATCTACCTTGGGAGTCAGGCATGAGCACAGAGCCCACTCAAGCAGGAAGCAGAGCAGCAGGTGCCAGCTCTACAGGTCTGGGTGTCCCTGGAGATGGGGATTCAAGCTGTACCTCCCAGACTGAAGCTTCCAGACAGCGACAGAAGGTGGCTAAGGACCCCTGTATCTTCCCTAAAGAGGTTAAGGATCCCAGAGTTGCCGCTCACATCCTAAGCCTGCAGAATGGACTATCCAATTCCTCCTGGACTGGGTTTATCCAGCAAGGGCCCTCTGATTCCTGGCCTGTCCATGGACCCTTGTTCAGGGCCTATGTAAAGGAAATCATGGTGGATGGTGTTCAGCAAGCTCCAGAGCCAATGTGTACCAGTCTGTCTGCATCCTGCTCTCAACCGGACACAGTGGCAATGTATGGCATCATGTCTGCTAAGTGACTAAGTAATGTAGATGACCAGCCACTCATACCCACGACAGGCATGGTGGTGCATGCCTATAATCCAAGCACTTGGGAGGCAGAGACAAGAAAATCACTGAAATTTATGGGCAGCCAGGGCTACAAAGAAAAGACCCTGGCCATGCATACAACTGCTGCCCAGACATACTGTATGTGAAGAAATATGGCTCCACCCATAAATCAGGGGACACGATCCAGGACAGGATAGGGCAAAAAGAGCCTGTGTCTAACTGAGTGCTGTGTGTTCTCTGAGCCTTAGGGGTGTTTTCACACAGCCCTGCTTACACACCTCTTAGGATAGAAAGCTCACTCCGTCAGCTCCATGGCCATTCAAATTCATAGCTATGGGACTACTGGATAAAGTCATTGACTTCTTTGTAAGTAATCTCAAGCTAGTGCCAGCAACAGGCCCTGGAATTCCAGTAGATGAAACCTAGGGATCCCTTGTATAGAATTTAGAAGCCAAGGATTAACTGTGTGGCCTTATCTCAGTCACTAGACATCTCTGAGTCTGTCTCCCTGATCCTAAGCACTGTCTGTTGCATTGCTGGTTGTCCTGAGGCTCACAAGCAAAGGTTGTGGAAAGACACTCTTCAAAAACACTGAGTCAGGACTTAGATACAGCATTTGCCTTTGATGCTCAGGATGGCTGAGTCCAAGGCTCCCTCCACGTCTAGATGAGGATGCAGAGACTGAGCCCAGGCACTATTCCACCTTCAGTCATTGCTCAAGACCCCAGAGGAAAGATAGTGATTCTTCTCCACGGCCCTCACCTCAATCTTACCTCCTCGGTGCCCAAGAACCCTTCATGAGACAAGATTCCCCATGGCCAGGCTACCCCCAGGGTCCCAGCCTGAGCTGATCATGGGCACTTGCAGACACATCTGCCCCGTGCAGATGAAGTTCAGTTTGCTCATCTCTAGATGGTAATAGTGGTCATATACCATGGTCTCAGCACTCAGTAAGTGCGTAACAAACACTGAAGGAGGGCAGGAGGACAGGCCAACCCTGCTGTCCTACTCATGTCAGGGCCCACGAGGCTCTGTTTAAGAGGGGCTAGTGTTGCCAGTTGGAAGCCCAATCCCCAGGTACTATCTGGGTTGGGTCTTCCTATGGGGCTTCAGCAGCCAGTCTAGACTGCAAGCTCACTACAACCAATTCTCATCTCTGAGTGTTCCCTGCGTCCACCTCTGAGTAGCAGCAGCAGATGAGTAGGGGCAGTGCTGGAGAACAGAACCCAGAGATTCAAGGGAAGTGGCCTGGGGGCCATAGGAAGTCCTTGAGATCTGAGGAGGACAAAGGACAAGGCAACATTGGCCAAGAGCAGGGGCAGGAGAGGGCCAGAGCTCCACTCCTGGGAGGTGATGGCAGGGGTATGCCCAAGTCATGGTATCTTCCACCCTTGGGTCTCACTCTGCAGCAATAGGAGCTCCTCCTGGGCAGGGCGTGGGGAGGTGGGCTGGGTGGTACATGGTCGCCCAACACTTTTGGAATGACTTTCCCATGCCACAGGAAGGAATGAGAAACTTCATTTTCTTCCTACAATGGGACTCTATTAGAATGTTCTCAACTATGGACTGGGATGCAACTCATTCAATAGAGTGCTCACCTAGAAGGCTGAGTTTGATCCCCAGCACCACATAAACTGGGTGTAGTGACGCATGCCTGTAATCCCAGCATTCAGCAGATGGGAGGCAAGAGGATCGGAAAAGTTCAAGGTCATTCTCAGTTAACACAGCAAGTTGGAGAGCAGCCTGGGCTACATGAGACCCTTTCTCAAAAGAAAAAAAAAAAAAAAAGAAAGAAACCAAAAGTGCTGACGATAGATCAGAAAATGGCCCCAGAAGTCTTCAAAATAAATACTAATTACTGTGTAGGCCTCACTTTGTGATTCTAGACGGAAGTGAGTTTCAGGTGACAGTTCTGGGAAGGTAGATGGTATAGTTTAGAATAAAATTGTCAGGCTGGGGATGGAGCTCAGTGGTAGAATGCTTACTCAGTCAGCACAGGGAACTGGGTTTGATCACCAGCACTGTAAAAATAAATAATGAAGTATATTGAACATACTGAGAAAGAAATCAGGAAAACAATCCCATTCACAACAGCCCCAAAGAAATAAAATACCTAGGAATGAAGCTAGCCGAGGAGGTGAAAGACCTCGACAGTGACAACTAAAGCACAGGAGAATCTGAAGAAGACAGTAGACAGGCCTCCCATACTCATGGACTGGCAGAATTAATATTGGGAAAAACGACTATTTACCAAAAGACATCTACAGATTCAAGGAGATCCTCAACAAGGTTCTAATCACATTCTTCACAGAACTAGAAATAAACAATCCTTAAATTCATATGGAAACATACACACACACACACACACACACACACACACATAAACAGAGAGAGACTAAGAATAGTC